AGAATAATTTTGTTTGGTATAACATATTATTCAAGCCTCCACAGTCGGTCATATGTCGGAAGTAGGTATGAATCAAGACTGTCATGATTGGTTGCAGAGGTCTAAGGTGTTGGACAAGGCTACAACAATCATGAGTGCTCATAAGTTCTGAGCATTGGACTCAACCCACGCTCACTGGAATCACTTCATGGAATTCTATCTCGAGTGATCGTGAGACGGTAATATCATATAAGTATTCAAACCTAGAGATATGATTTGTTACTTACAAGTTGGTTATGCATTGATTGTATGAAAACACATTGGTAACTCGATGTTATAAAATGTGCTTTTGTGTGTAATTCAATGAGTGGTAGAACAAACATATGAGTCGAGGTTTATCTGTTCCTTCTTGGATTAGAAGCTGATATCTGGGCCCCTCGATGATTTTGTTTTGACCTATGTACCGGGCCCAGTCAGAACTAAATTGATGTGTTCAGTTGAGTTCTATGTCAAACAAATCGGAAATTGGGAAACAAACTGTTGGACAATAAGTAAGACATTGTTCCATGTATTTGTCTGGCTGATATCTAGAACAGAGGATTATATGATCACTTATCTTAAATGGCGTGTTCTAGTTCAACAGAGTTTAAAGAGCTACGATTGCTGATCGGTTCCTGAAGTCATACTTGCAACTATAGTTATTAGACTTATCCAAGTAGGAGACTGTTGGATATAGTGACTAAGTTCATAACTATATTTGGTATGTACTTGACCCGACCCGACATGGTCCATTTGGGTTGCACTTCACCCGAACAGTTTATGGATAATATTTGAGAATAGTACAAGTTATGATTTATTAATATATTATAAGTTCTAATATATTAATATAAGATGATATTATTTAATTAGTAGTGATCTATAATTAATCTAGGATTAATTTAGTGATCAAAGATATTACTAATTAAATATGGGCTTCTATATTTATATTGTGTGGGCTAATGCTTATTTGGAATCGGCTAGGCTTGGATGGAAAAGTCCATGGATACTCCATGGAGCTTTAACCCATGGATCTCATGGAAATGAAGAGACATGGGTATTAGGGTTTAACCTAATCCACCACACTATATAAAGGAGGCTTTGGTTCTTGAAATGACTAGTTGACACTTGTTGAGGTGAGGGCATTTTCAAGATAGTAGTATCTATTCTCTCAAAGTTCCAAGTTTGTGGTGATTTGTGACTTTCATTTGAGGCATCCACATTATTGGTGCTAGGCTCTAGAACTCCAAGCAATCTACTACAACTACAAGGTAAGTATATCTTCTAGCTTATTTGATTCATGTTCCCCATGCCATGCTAGTTAGGATATAAACCTTGGAAAATTAATTATTTGCATGTATCTTAGACAAACATAGATCCAAGGTTTATTAGGGTTGCATGTACACTTAGGAAGTGTTAGAATGCTCAAAAACCCATCACGATCTACTTGGGCTTCCTTGATCTGTGAGTCTAGGGAGATTGGATGGTGATTGATAGGGTCTTTAGATGATGACATGAATACTCCTATTGGCTTAGGGAATCAACTACCACATTAGCCTTGCCTGGATGGCATTTGATCTCGCACTCATAATCATTTAATAGTTCGATCCATCTCCGCTATCTCATGCTTAGTTTCCTTTTGATTTAGAATGTGTTGGAGGCTCTTGTGGTTTGTAAAGATGGCGCACTTGGTACCGTATAGGTAATGCCTCCAAATTTTTAGGGCGAAGACCACCGCTCCCAATTCCAGGTCATGCGGAGCATAATTCACTTCGTGAGTTTTTAGTTGTCTGGATTCATAAGCAATTACCTTCCCGCGTTGCATAAGAACACAACCTAAACCCTGATTCGAAGCATCACAGTAAACTATGAAGTCTATGATTCCCTCTGGTAAGGATAGCACTTTAGAACTATAGAGGGCTTGCTTCAAGGTTTGGAAAGAGATCTCTTGCTTCTCCGTCCAGTTGAATGGTATACCTTTCTATGTCAATGTGGTAAGGGGTTTGGCTATCTTAGAAAAGTTCTGAATGAACCTTCGATAGTAGCCTGCGAGTCCTAAGAATTTACGAATTTCCGTTGGCGTTGATGGAATCGACCAACCTTCAATGGCCTTTACTTTGGAGGGATCTACATGTATTTCCTTCCTGGCTAACTACATGTCCCAAGAAATTCACACTGCGGAGCCAAAACTCGCACTTGGGAAGTTTCGCATATAACTTTTCAGCTTGAAAGGTCTTTAAGATCTGTCGGAGGTGTTGGCTATGATCTTCTTCACTTCACGAGTACATGAGGATGTCATCGATGAAAATGATTACAAATTTATCAAGAAATGGGCGGCAGACTCGATTCATGAGGTCCATGAATGTGGCAGGGGCATTTGTTAGACCGAAGGGCATCATGATGAATTCGTAATAACCATATCGAGTTTGGAAAGTAGTCTTAGAAATGTCCTCATCTCGGACTTTGAGTTGATGATAACCAGATCTCAGATCTATCTTAGAAAAGTAACTAGCTTCTTGGAGCTGATCGAATGGATCATCAATTCGTGGAAGTGGGTAACGGTTTTTGATAGTGAGTTTATTCAGTTCCCTATAGTCAGTGCACATCCTGAAGGATCCGTCTTTCTTTTTAATGAAAAGAACCAGAGCTTCCCATGGAGAGAGGCTTGGTCTAATGATCCTTTATTCAAGAGTTCACTTAGTTGGCTTGACAATTATTGCATTACAGCAGGAGCCAACCTATAGGGTGATTTGGCGATTGGAGTGGCTCCAGGAACTAGGTAGATTCGGAATTCGATTTGTCGTTCTAGGGGTATTCCAGGAAGTTCCTCTGAAAACACATCTGGGAAGTCACATGCCACTGGAATGTTTTGAATGCTCGCTTCCTCTTTGGTCTTATCCTCCACGTGAGAAAAGAATGTGTCGTTCTTCATTTGTGAGCACTTTTGAGCCCTGATTCTCGGGATAAGGCGAAGGTTTGCACCGGGTTTATCTCTGCAGATTATTAGGGTTTCGTGGTTAGGAAGATGAAGGCAAACGGCCTTCTCGTGGCACTTAATATCGGCATGATGGGAGCTTAACCAATCAATGCCGATGAACACACAAAAACTCCTAATATTTACAGGCATTAAGTTTATTTCGAATATATGCTTGCTTAGAGTTATTTCACACCCTACATAGATATCCTTAGTTGATTCAGTCTTCCCATTAGCCATTTCCACCGTGAAGGCTTCATTGAGCTTCTAGGGTTGTTGCTTAGTAAATGTTTGAACTTATTACTCACAAAACTTTGCTATGCTCCACTATCAAATAAATGCATGCATATGAGTTGTTAAGCAGAAACGTACCGGTGTCAATGGCTGGGTCCTGCATTGCTTCACCCTGGCCCATTGTCAATACTCTTCCTGCTGCACCTGTCCCTTGATTGCTCACGTTGGGACAGTTTCGCCTGATATGCCCAGTTTTCCTACATCCGTAACAGGTATAACTAGCTCCCGTATTGTGGTTGTTGTTTTTGTTGTTGTTGGTTGTCATCTGGTTCTGTTGAAGCTGAGTCCTATGATACTTCGCTGTGTGGCCCTTCCGGTTGCACCTTGTGCAACTCATCTCTCTGCAATCCCCGTGATGGTGGATTTGCATTTGTTACAATTGGGGAGATTTCCCGAGTACTGCTTGGAAGCATTTGGTGTGGATGAGGTTGGAGCATGTGGTGTGGTAGTGCCTTGTGTTGCAATATGGATGGACACCGTTTGTTGCTTCTTAGATGATTCCGAGTTTCGTTTTCCCTTTCTCTTGTTGTTTCTTCCATTCTTACGCTCTTCCTCATTCTTACCCTCCGCCTCCACCGTCTTGTCACCCTTCTTATTGCCATGATCGTATAGTTTCTTAGACAATCTCTTGGTGTTATCAAATGTCTTAGGGTTTGCTGCAGTGACATTCCCTTGGATAGGTTCAGTCAGTCCCCAGATAAACCTTTCAATCTTTTCTCTTCTGAGGTGATCATTCTGTGACACAGAAGAGATAGCTCACTAAACCTAGATATGTATGCGTCAATGTTGGATTTTTGGACCGTGAGATTCCACAACTCTTGCTCCATCTTTTGAATCTCATCTTTAGGGCAATATTCCGCTAACATCATCTCCTTCAGCTCTTCCCAGGGCATCGCATTTGCCACTGGGAGTGGCATGGCCTCAACGTGGCCATTCCACCAGGAGAGAGCTTGGTCCATGAACGTACAGGCTGCGAACTTGACCTTACACTCATCCAGACATTCGCAAATTTCGAATACCGACTCTACTTTCTCAATCCATCTTTTTAGGGCTATGACGTCTCCTGTCCCATTAAAGGTTCGAGGTTTGGCGTTGGTGAAGTCCTTGTAGGTGCATGCTCGTGCGGCTCCATGATTTGTTCCTTCATTTGTACTTCCAGTTCCCTGTCCATTGCCTTCTCTGTTGTTTCCATTGCGAATATGTGCAAGTGATGCAGTGACCGCAACGGACACTGCTGCCTGGAATGCAACCGAGTTAATTTTTGGAGGCAACGGCTCGGGGTTTCCACAGGTGGGTCGTTGAGGCATCCTTCTGTCATGGAACGGAAAGATGTTGAGTGCCTATTGTTCTTACGACTTTGTGATCCTATAGGCTAAGTGTATAACATGTACTTAAGTAATTTCACACATTGACAGAAAACATGGAAGTATAGCACATAGCAGATAACAACACCATGATAAAACATAAAGCATTTTTATTAATACTAATAGGCTTGCTACATGAAAAGTTGCCAAAAAGGCATACAGTACATATAAAATCCGGCATCATGATGACACTATGAGTAGTGTAATCACTTAAACATAGAGTTGACAGTACGTAGGGTGGTACGCGTTAGAAGGAGCAAATTCTTAGTAGGAGATATGGTTGGTTTCACATATTGTGACACCTATATAGCAAGTAGTAGAGCAAGTCCCATTGGTAGTGCTGATGATGGCACTCAATCGTCGAGCTGACGTATCAGAAGTTCAGCCAGTTCATTTGCCTCTTGGGTGATTACCTCAACCCTTTGCTCGGCTAGTACAGCCCTTGCTTCGGTCATAAAGAGTTGACGCTTGAGATTTGTTATTACTTCCTCAAGAGAGCGTAAATGGTATGCATCACCCCTCTGAACCATGTGTGGATCTGATGGGGCTTTCGATAGGTGGGGTTCATTGCACGCCTCCTCAACATCCTTTCCTTCATCTGACTCCCGGTCAGACTCGTCGTATTCGTAATCAGTTACCACATACTTTCCCGGTTCCACTTCGGGTCCCACCTGTTGACCCATGGCAGGGCCCCCTTCGGGGTTTTCTTCAGGGTCCTCCTCAAGAACTCCTTGAGCCACTAGCGCTTGGTAGAAGTGTACCCCTTGCTGATCATCATCCATGGTGAATGCATGGGGCGTGGGAACGAGACATGTTTTGATTACTCTCATAGTATTTTTCATTATTAGTGTTTGGATTCCCTAGAGTTATTGGAGAGTGGGTAGGCTTTCGGATTCATTTCCCGCTACAGTTACTCCCGAAAACATGTTGGTCATATTCTAAATAAATATAGTTGATCAGGCTATATTTATCCCAAATATGACTACATAACTGCCAGGTTTAACCATAGTGTTCAATCCCTAATATGACTACACAAGTGTTGATTTTTTTGTTTTGTTCAGAGTTGTTTAGTCCCATTGTGTTTATAGTTGCATATCATGTATGGTTAGACATGCTAGTTCACTATAAAGATTGCTCTGATACCAACCTGTCACACCCCGAACCAGATGGCGGAAACGTCCGGGGGATTGTGTGACTAACAATTGAATAATCATCACAATGAATATAGATGAAACATAACACATTCATCACCCATATTACATAATACAACCAACATTGTTCACATCAAGTACATTGTTAAAATACACAAATTCTAATTGTTCAAAGTACGATAAGTGACATTACATAAACAAAACCAAACACACTCGCATATCTTCCAGCTTAACGATTACCTAAGAATACAAGTTATTTTGAAAACGGTCAACATATATAATGTTGGTGAGTTCATAAGTATGGTTGAATAGAAATCTTGTATCTTTCGTAAAAACCCAGAAAATCCGATATTTTCTGTAAATTGTAACAACCCGTTATTTCAAGTCAGTAAAAATCGAGTCCTGTAACCTCTTTGAGAAAGGAATTAGAATATCATCGAAAAATGAAGTATTCAAAAACTCTATTTGGAGTACACTATGTGGTAGTTATCGTCTTAAGGTTTCCAAACATATAAATAACACAAAAATCTGAATTATAATGAAGAAGTTATGATCATTCAAAGCCTTACGACAAAAACCGGCAATACAATGTTGCATAAAAACGCAAAGTTCCAATAAAACACTTTCCGACCTTAGGTGTCTAAATGAAAGTCGTAGATATCATTAAACTACAAACATGCATAAAAAGAACGCTCAAATCAGACATCGTATGAATAAGTTATGAATTTTTTTTAAAGAAATTCCTTAATCACGTCATTTTAATAAATAAATAATAAAAATAATTCTGGAATTTGCCAATGGAATCTAAATGAAAGTTGTAGATCGTAGTCTCACCTTCGCGGGGATATAAAGAACGTCAAAAACGGGGTTCGTATGAAGGAGATATGAATTTTCGAAGTTTGATAAATAATTTATATATAATTTTTATTCAAAATTCGGTATTATCCGAAGAGGAGTCAGCCTAGGGCTGTAGTACGCGCCGCGTACCCTCGTACGCCCCGCGTACCCGAGGAACTTGGCCTCAAACCGTCCACGCCGCCCTATGCAAGGCACCCGACCCACCCGTCCGACCCGACGTCCCATCCGACCCGACTGCCTGAGCCGTCCCATCCGAGGCCGAGGCAGTCGAGGCTTCGGTCACGCATGACGTACACGTACGCGCTGCGTACGAGCGTACGCCCCGCGTACGAGGCCTCTCAGGCCCCCCTATAAATAGCATGCGAGGGTTCCCGGGAAAAGGGCCAATTCTCTCTCCTTTTTCTTGCGTTTTACCTCGTTTTCCGTGCTCGCACTACCCCGAAGCCCTGGTCATTTTGTGCAAGTCCCGAAGGCCGATCTTTCTCCCGAGGAATCCCGAGATTTCCGAGGAAAATCCATTTCCCGAGACGAAACTCTGCCCGGTTTTCCATCTTGCTATCTTCAAGTTTTCAAGTGAGTTCATACCCCTTTCAAACACACTTTAAATACATTTTTAAATGCTTTTATACTCTTTTAGGGGGGGGGAATACAAGTAAACATACGGTTATTATCGTGTATTTTATAAAGTTTCACTTCACTTGTGTTATCAGATAAACCACTTGGAACTCATTACTATTATGGAAAACTCTTGTCATACTTTGTGTGCATTAGACTTATACGATGTATATAATGGTCTTTCATTGTTAAATCTTTTTATACATTCTAAAAATTTATGATTTTGCTTTATCAAACATTGTGAAAAGGGATAAACTTTGCATACAAAACTATCACTTTAATATCAACTTAATTGAGAATCTATGAGCCGTGTACATCTTCAAACGTTACTTTCTTTATTAGAAAGTACTGCAGTAAGTCCTGTTTATAACCAGAATCTCCCGCGACGAGAACGTGTCAAATGTGTATAGATCTATACGGGAAGTCATGATCCCGCGCCCTGACTGTTAGCTACAGTCCGTCTTTTGGGGTGACAGTTGTCATAGCACTGCGACGCCTGAAGAACGTCGTTACAGGCATATTATGTTTAGTATGGTTATAAAACTAATCGGATATACAATTATTATGGTATTATGCTTTTATGAACGAATAGCTAATAAAACTATTCTTTAGCTAACGATTGCGATCTTCGTATAGCTTTATTATATAAAACTATGACACAACTTACGAGAACGTCGGTTTCTTGCAAATTTTCGGTCTTAGAGACTACCATTTATTTTAGGAAAATAAGGGTTTCTCCTGCATACAAACCAAACAACTAATAGGAAAATAAGGGATTTTCCTGGTGCAATCATTTACAATTTACAATACGAACATTTATATGCATTTCATGCTTTTATAAGAAAATAAGGGTTTTTCTTGGGAAAACACAACCATTCGTATTTCAACCATTAGGGAAAATATGAGATTTTCTGGATCTAATACATTCATTTGCAACACAACAAATCACAACTCTTTACATTTGAAATGCTACGTTTTCTGGAAAACATACACCCATTTTGGAATGGCATCCAATTTTTCTAAACTACTTATGGACTCACCAACTTAATTGTTGACACTTTTTCTTTGAAATAACTTGTATTCTCAGGGAACCGCTAAGCAGGTTTGGGAATCAACTTTTGGGATTAACGCGCTGGCGTTAATTACTTCTTTTGAATGATATTTATGTATTTATCTTTTGAACATGTAATGAATACTCTATGTAAACATCTTGGAAACTTTAATTTATATGGTGGTGTGTACTTTCCTTTCTATGAACTGTTATGATACTGGATATGACGTCCTCCGCCCCCGAACGTTTCCGCCGTTCTGGTTTGGGGGTGTGACATAAATTGTCTGACAATGATGTGTAAATCGAGTATAAATGCATGAATGAAATTTATAGTTATAACTTGTATGCGTGTATTGTATCGTGAATAAGTGATAATTGTATATGACTATTTCTCCCAGAAAATCCGATATTTTCTGCCTTGGGAGAATTTCATATATACCCTTATTAAATGTTTAAATATCGTATTTACTCGACTTAAAATCTAAATATCATATTTACCCTTCCTAATGTTTTAAAATATCGTATTTTCCATAATCTATTTTTTAAAAAGATTTTATTATTTAATAATCATTTTTTATAATTGAATTTTTTTTTAAAATAGAATAAATAATAAAATAGACAATAATACCCTCATCTAGACCCTAATACCCTTACCTTACCTGTTCAAAATCGTAAATCGTAGGAATCCTTTGAGATGAGGTTTCTGGTCGTCTTCATAGGATCGCCGGTTAAAAACATGGCTTTTATCTTGTTTCCTATTGTTTTTGCCTGCGTTTTATCTCGGTCAATAACCATCTCAAGCAATTACTTGATTCTTCTAAACCACCTCTAGTTTATCTATTAAAGGTCATCCCTCTTGATCGAAAAAGGTTAATCCATGGTAACCACTACCACCATTCCGTCTTTTCCCTTTCTTCTTCCTTCGAAAACTAAAATTGACATATAAAGATCCAATTTTATTGATGTTACACAAGTGATTTGTGAACTCGAGCTCACAATTCAAAAGCTTGAAAGTAATGAAAAACCCATATAACAAGGTCTTGGATCTCTTCTTTGTCACTGATCACTTGTAGCCCTTTTGAAATATTGTATATAAGCTATTAATTTGAGTTAGCAGGACCTGGATATGAGAGCCAAAAAGGGTTTACTTCTATTTCAGAAGAAATCGTTGATGAATTGTTTAGTTGTCAGCTTGCCACCAAGTAAGATGATCGTTCATAAGCTCTTAGCAGACATATTGGATGTTAAAAGTTGTTATTACTGTTGATAATTTAACAAACCCATCTGATACTTTTGCTTCAAATGCAATGCCTTGATCATAAAGCTCTCACAATTTAAAGATCTCCAAATACTGCAATATCAAGGTGTATTGACGAAGGTAATGGAGGGTGGATTGACGAAGATCCTGAAGAATACGAAGAGCCTATAGAGTTGGAGGGAGGGGATGACTCTGGCACGGATTCGGAGCCAGAAATTATAAATCCACCAATCCCACAATCTCCCATCCACGTGAGGAATTTCCAAGGACCCACTCCAGTGTGGGGAAGTCATCTCCATCATTGGAGCCAACAACAAAGCTTACGCCCTCCATACGGCATGTGCCGAGACTTCTATGATGTGAGAGGCGGGGGATCAGCCGACCGAGCACTTCCGGTCATGGTTGGCAAACTCGCCAACCAGTGCTATCAATCCGGAGTGCAAGCCAATCGAATCCGAGAGGTCAATGTGGAAGTACAAATCCACACGGCCGATATCAACCCCCTAGAGTTGTTGCAGAACGACATCCACATTCGTGCCGAAGCGTTTCAAGTACAAGCAAATGCGGCCTTCGCAGAATTAAGAGAACAACAAGCTGCGTTTGATAGACGCCTCATGGAGTCGAAGCAGTCCGACACGGAGTCGAGCTCCAAACGCAAAGCGCACCGCAAGTAGTACTTGCCCAACTCTCAAATTTTGTTATAAATTAGGACTTCGGATAAAAGTATTATTTTCTTTAAATTGTTCTGTAATCGGAGGCCTTTAGAAAGGCCAAGAAATTTTGTCTAGACCCCGCTGTAACACAACTATATGATATATATTATATATATATATAAGGGTATACCCTTTT